AAAGCCAGAGGTAGTTAACACAGGCAGAAACAGAATGGTTTCTTGGGACAACGGGGACATGCCGCAGCACCGTTTGTGGCTATATTCACGTAATGGGCAGCAGTACAGTCTGAGACTTACGGTATTTTTTGAAGAAATAAACAGGTTGCTAATTTATAACAATATAGCAAGATGAGCCCACAAATATTGAGTCCATTACCTCAAACTTGGTGATGTTGATAGAATGAGATCCAGCTATGACCCAGCTACTTAATCTTTTATCACTGCAAAAAAAAAAAATCTCAGTGATCTTGTTCACAAAGCCGTGCCTATTTTTTTATGTATCTCCACTTGAAGAACATTCAAGGCAAAACTATAAGCAGTTGCACTAGAGTTATCCACAAACTTTCAGAGACCAGGTAACATCCAGAGCAGAGCCTAGTTCTCTCTTGGCAACCAACAGCTTTGAAAAAATTGGCAAATTCAGACCCTAGCAATTTTGGCTTCACAGTGTGTTTAGCTGCCATTACTGCATATAAGACTGAGGCAACCATTTAAAACCGTCCACAGACTATCTTGACAGATCTGGCCTGTGACTGTTCATACAGAACACGCTCCTGTGCTATTGAATGCTCTAACGTTGTCAATGAAAGCTATTTAGAATCTAATAAACACAAACTAATATTTGTATACAGAAATCTAATTGGACTCTTAAGAATAAAGTATTTGAAACGTATCTACACAATTCTAGATTTATTTCTTTATAGATTTTTCTTCTTCAACTATTCAATTTTTTAGGACAGTCAACCACAAGATGAAGGATATTTTTATTCCTGGTAGAATTTTATCACTAAAGTAGTTAGTAAAATTTGCACATCAGTAAAAATACAGAAGAACCTCCACAAAAATATACTTTCAAAAAATCAGATTATGTTACCTTAAAATATGCAAATTTTATCATTTAGACTTCAGAGTCTTAAGTGGAGAAATGGTAAAAGTCTGCCCTTTTATTCATTGATCTACCTTCTGCAGTAAGTAATGGTAACAACAGAAAGCATTGGGGAAAAAAAAAAAAAAACAGATAGCAAAGACAACCCAAATTATAGCTCCAGGAAATTAAAAATGAAATTACATATATCAGTTAAACTTAGCACCGCATAGGAAAAAGAGTGTTTTTTTCAGATCAAAGGGATCTGCAAATCCAAAAAGCTATAATATGCAAGTGTTTGCCACAAAAATAAATAAATAAATTTTGTAGAGCCAGAAAATTGTTTAATATCTTGTAATTATTTAAAAATCTTATCATCCAGTTTTATTTTCTTCCTCAGACTAGTTGCCAGCATGAGCTGAATGTTACCAAACTGAGCTGTTACAGATACTGGCCCTTCAGAATATGTTATTTTTTTCCTAAACCTAAGAGAGAGGATCATTGTCAGAGGTCAAATGCTCATATCCATCAATAAAAAAGTATTGCATGAATTTGTCTCACATTCATTTGCAGTGCTGCCCTCCAAAAAGGAAAAAAAAGTGAAATAATTTGGTGAGAAAAATATAGTCATATTTTTAAGCTGTGCCTGATTGATTGAGAACAAAGTACTGAGTTTAAATTCCCATCATACTATTTAGCCAGGAATGGAAATGAGATTCTGAGTCACGGAGTGTAATCCTTGCTACCAAGCCTTTGCCTCCTATAACCTGTTTCATAAACTCACTGTGCTTATAAACAGGGACGTGTCTTAGCCTACCCCTCCCTCTGCAAAGCTGAAGAAAACTGCACTGATGAAAAGGAATCATTCATCAGATTCTCCATTTCCCACTCCAGTTTGAATTTATTCGCAGCAATACCTACTTGTTATTGTGTCAACAACGTCTTTGAGGCTAAGCATTTATGTTGCATCAAGATAAACAATATTTAAGCAAAATCATCACCTATGCCATTATGGCAGAAAAGATAACAATCACCTTTCCTAAAGACAAGTCAAGTTATTGCCATTTGGTATTTTAATTTAAAATTGCTGTTTATATGTTAGTGTGAGCAGAATCAAATGAACTGTCTATGCTTTAATGTTTAGCAGGTACATTTTACTTTTTTTGTCCATATACCTCTATATACATATATCTGTGTATGCATTTGTGTGTGTGTGTGTGTGTGTGTGTGTGTGTGTGTGTGTGTGTGTGTGTGTGTGTAAACCATTTAAACCTTTTTTTCCCACTTTTTACTGTTCTTGTAGGTTTATTTATTGCCAAATGATCTCATGTGTTCAAGTACAGCAATACGACATTTATAGGAAGCCATTGTGCACTGGCCTCTGTCCCTCCACTTTCTATTTATGCTTCTCCTGCAGTAGTCTTATCCTGGATTTTCTCATTCTCTTTCTGCCAATGTCTTGCTGCTCTCTCAGGTGTTGTCTCCAGCACCCTGGGAACTGCCTCCAGACAGTAAAGCTTATGGTCATGAAGAGCTAGAAAGAAATGGCCACGTTCGTTCTTCCGGGGCCCCTCTCTGCTCTGCGTCCTGCACGGCAGCGCCCAAGGAAATGGTGCACAGAAGAAATGGGGTAAGAAGGTGCTGCCCAGGAGAAGCTTTGAACAGCCAGGAGGAAGAGGGGAAAAGGAAACCCTGTTCACTGCCTGCAGCTGCTTACAAGTGACATTTCACATGGCTTGCGTGAGACAGTGCCAGCAAGACATACAGGGCCATCGCTCCAAAGGAATGATTAATGACTGACCCGAGAAGGCAAAATGATAAGGTCTAAAATATGACAGTGTCATTCTACGATTCAAATCCACATGTGACTTCTGACCTCCCCTCAAGTTAACAATGTTGTTTGTCCCTCCAAATTGCAGGGGGAGTTTTTCACAGAATAACAGCATGGCTGAGGATGGAAGGGACCTCTGGATATCACTTGGTCCAACCCCCGACTCAAAGCAGGGTCACCAAGAAGAGCTCAGGGCCGTGTCCCATTGGGTTTTGAATCTCTCCAAGGATGGAGACTCCACAACCTCTCTGGGCCACCTCTGCCTCTGTCCAGTCACCCTCAGAGCAAAAATGTTTTTCTTATGTTTCCTTATGTTTAAGAAACAAAGAAGATCATTAAGCAAGAATGAAGTGCGGAAATAAACCAGTACACAAAAACCAAGAAAAGAAGTGGTAACACAGATCCTCTAGTTTAATTCATTGTATTTTACCGGTTGCAATTTCTTTGGGTATCACAGAAAAACTGACACATCTCTCAATCTGGGGGCTTGTGCTCACAACCCTTAATGCTAAACTGTGGGAAGCATCATAGGGTCCAGCTCTTGAGCTGATGTCTCAAAATCCCAGTTAGGGGCATTGCACAAAACCTTGAAGCAAAGACAGCTATGTAAAACTGAATTAGAATTTGCTTTATCATCTTATGACCAAGCATAATTTTTAAAGGCAATGCTCTCCTCTCATGCCCATGCAATACTTTATCTACAAACACAACAGTTTAAACTTTTAAACAAAAATTTCAGTAAAATTTGTTCCTAAATTTGAGAAGATGGCTTTTTATTTCTAATTGGTTTTGGTACCTGGAGTCAGGTATTTACACCTGGATGCTGTTGTGCTTCTGACACTGCAGGAGGGAGGGGAAATATTTCAGTTGCAGCAATTCAACCAACACATAATTCTGAATACAGAATTTTCTTTCTTCACCTATGACAAAGGGGGGAATTGGACTGAAAAACCAACGTAACTCACCACTACTCTTTGTACTTCATCGTAATCATTAAGTGAAATTTCTCTACTCACAATGGACTTTTAGAAAAAAAAAATCAGACAGGTTTCAG